GATTATGTATGCTATGACTTGTACTCGCCCTGATGTGGCCTTCGCTTTGAGCATGGTCAGCACATATCAAGGGAACCCTGGAAAAGCACATTGGACCGCAGTCAAGAATATTCTTAAGTTCCAAGCAGATATCAAGGGAACCCTGAATGGAGGTGTAGTGACTTGGAAAAGTTCCAAGCAGGAGACTGTAGCTGATTCAATGTGCGAATCAGAATATATAGCGGCGAGCGAAGCGTCAAAGGAGGCAATATGGTTGAAGAACTTCATTGGAGACCTTGGAATTGTGCCAGCCATAAAGGAGCCCATGTAAAGTTTTGTGATAATGAAGTAGCGGTTGCCTTGACCAAGGACCTGAGGGATCATGGCAAATCTCGACATATCGACATAAAATATCACTTTATTCGACATCGGGTGGAAGAAGGACTCCTCGTAGTGAAGAGGCTATCGTCGGAGGATAACCCATCAGATCCCCTTATGAAGGGACTGAGTAGGGTTAAGCACTTGCAGCACGCTACGAGCATCGGGCGAAGGACGATATTAGTTTAGATTAGATTGTTTAGAAACGTGTAATAGATAAATGTAATTGACATTTGATGATTAAATAAAAAAGTATTATTTATAAGTAAAGTACTGTCTTATGTTAATTATTTACCTATTGTTTCATTTTGCATGTTTTGACTTCCTGAATAATAAGAATATTTGAATGTTCCACAGTCAGTCATACTTTGGGAGTAAGTATGAAAGAAGATTGTCATGAATTGGTGTGTAGATTGTCTAAAGCGTATTATACATAGCAAAGGTTGCTACAACGTTCATGAGTGCTTATGAGCTTGATTTGAGCATTGGATTAGACTCGCACTTGCCGGAATCACTTCATGGAATTTATCACGAGTGATCGCAAGATGATAATATCATATGGTCTTAAAACCTAGATATATAGTTTATTGTCTGCAAGTTGGTTGTGTATTGATAATACGAAACGCATAAGTAACTTGATGTTATAAAACACATTGTTGTTTATGATTTGATTTGTGAATGGTAAATGCATATAAGTTGAAGTTTATCTGTTCCTTTTATCCTAAGAGGGTAAAAGCGATATCAGGGCCCCTAGATGATTTGGTTTGACTTATGTGTCGGGCCCGGTCAGGACTGAATTGATGTGTTCAATTGAGTTCTTTGTCAGATGAATCAGAGATCGAGAAACAAACTGCTGGACAATAAGTATGACTATGTTCCATGTATTTGTCCGCACGATATCTAGAACGGAGGACTATACGATCCCTTATCTAAAGGACAGGTTACTGATAAGATCAGAGTTTGACAGCGACTTATGAAAGCTATGATTGTTAATCGGATCCTGAGGTAGTACTTGCATTTGTAGTCATCAGACGTATCCAAGTAGGACATTGTTGGATTAGTGTCTAAGTCCATAACTATATTCGGTATGTACTTGACCCGGTTGTAGCATGGTCCTTTTGGGTTGCCTTCACATTGGTGACTAGACAGGATGACTATTGAAGAGAGGGGCTGATTTATTAAGAATAATAAATTAGGTAATAAATATGATTTGTTAATATATTATATGAATAATATATTAATTTGGAATCATATTATTAATTAGTATTTAATCAGAAATTAATTAGGAATTAATTTTTGGATTAAAGGAATTAATTAAAGTGTAGGGGCCGTTTTGTAATTATTTGATAGTTGAGACTTTGGGCCATTGGATCACCTTTATTAAGGCTTGGCTGAAAATCCCAGAAGGATCTAGGAGTTTTCGTCCAAGGGATTAAGGAAAGGAGTCCATGGGTTTGCTTAGGCCCTAAGCTAAGGGATTAGGGTTTCCACCTTGAAACCCTAGTTGACTTCAACTATAAATAGCACCCTAAGGCACTCAAAATCGGAATCCCTTGAAGAAACCCTAGTAGAGCCGATTTTGTGAGCTAAGTTGCCTCCATCCTCTCTCATATTCATACTTTCACTCAAGTGTGTTTGTGAGCCATTAGATGTACTACACTTGTGGTACTTGCTTTCAAAGCTAAGGAGATTCAAGAAACAAGTTGTTATTACTACATAACAACAAAAGGTATGTGTTCTATTCTTCTATGTGAATTTCGAAAATTGTAGAAGCATGCCAGGTTTCTTTTTGTGTTCATAATGTTGTATGTCTAATAGTGAAAACATAGATCTATAATTAGGGTTGCATGCACACATAGGATTGTTTGTATAAAACCTATCAGAAAGTACATCAGTCATGAGTATGGAGACCGTCGAAGTGGCAAGGAGAGCACCCTAGAGCATCTCGTCTTCCCGTCGAGACAAGGCATCAGCAGCTTGGTTGAGCGAGCCCGACCGATATTCGACCTCAAAGTCAAACCCAAGCAATTTACTCACCCAATGTTGTTGGGGTGAAGTGGTTAGTCGTTGTTCCAAGAGATATTTTAAACTATAATGGTCGGTTTTTATCAAGAAAAGTCGACCCCAAAGATACAGCCGCCAATGAGAGACCGCCTTTGCTAACCCGATCAACTCGTGTTCATAAGCTGGTAGTTTGTGGTGGCGGTAAGCTAATTTCCGGCTGAAGTACGCAATCGGGTGAGATTTTTGTTGTAGTATTGCCCCAATGCTTATACCCGAGGTGTCACACTCCACCACGAATAAAACATCGAAATCAGGTAATGCGGGAACTGGAGCTTGTGAAAGAGCCTCCTTGAGATCCGAAAAAGTTGCATCGGATTCCGAAGTCCATGCAAAGCTATTACGTCTGAGCATGCTAGTAAGAGGTGTTGCAATGGCTTCAAGGTCCGCACGTTATGTGGTTTTGGCCAGCTTTGAATGGCTTCAATCTTAGTCTGGTGTACTGATACACCAGTTCTATGAATAATGTGCACCAAATACACGACCTCCTTGCGCCCGAAAAAACATTTTGATTTTTTTAAATATAGTCCATGGTTGCGGATAAGCGATAGAATGGTCTAAAGGTGTATAAGATGTTCTGTGAGGGAGTGACTATAAATTAATATATCGTCAAAAAAACCAAAACGTACCTCCTGATTTGGGCGCTAAAGACGTCGTTCATGATACTTTGAAAAGTAGACGGTGCGTTTGCTAGCCCAAAGGGCATAACCATGAATTCAAAATGTCCATGGTGTGTTCGAAAAGCCGTTTTTTCCACGTCGTTAGGGTGCATACGGATTTGATGGTAGCCGGAAACCAAGTCAAGTTTTGTGAATATGGATGCACCATGTGCACCATGTAGTTCATCAAAGATTTCGTCTACCACAGGTATTGGGAATTTATCTTTGACAGTTTTTGCATTTAACTCCCTGTAATCTACACAAAATTGCCATGTTCCATCATGTTTTTTTACAAGAAGCATCGGAGACGAATATGGAGAGTGGCTGGGACGGATTACCCCGCCCTATAACATCTCGGTGCATTGTTTTTCAATCTCGTCTTTGAGGAGGTGTGGGTAGCGATATGGCATGATTGCGATTGGCTCATTGTCTTTATGTAGGCAAATTATATGATCACAAGCGCGTGTGGGAGTTTCTCGAATGCTTCTGTGAATTCATCCAAAAGCTAGTCTAGGTTTGGCTCTTCTTCATTCTTGGCAGTAAGGGTGGCCAACGTCACTGTGTCTGGTATTTCGCCATGCCATTTTATGGTAGTGCCATCAATTTTAAACTCCATTTCTCGTACCGTGAAGTCCCATAATATTGGTCCTATTTTTTGCAACCAACAAACTCCTAAAACAAGATCAAAGCCCTCGAGAGGAATTGAAAAGGAAATCGGCTATGAAGTCGTAACCTTGAACTGATAGCTGAAGTCCACTTGAAACCATTACTAGCCATTTTTTCGCCATCTGGTAATGTCACTCACAACCCCGACTTCTCTTCTACGGTCACTTGGAGCTATTGGGCTATCCTCCTTGCAATTAAATTATGAGTACTCCCACTGTCTAAGAGTACCCACGCAATCCCATTACCTACCCTTGCTTGTATTTGTAAAGTTTGATCGGTTGTCACTCCCCTGATGGCATTTAGTGACATTGTTGGTATTTCATCAAGTGTGGGCTCGACTTTTATCTCTTCCTCGTCGTCAGATAGCATAATACAAAATTATTTGGCACATTTGTGTCCAACTAAAAATAGCTCATCACAGTTAAAGCATACGCCTTTTGCTCGTCGTTCCGCCATCTCCGTTGATGTCAGTTTTTTCCATGCCAGGTTGCGTACTTCAGTTTTCCCTCTGGTGTCCCGGTTCTTGGTGCCTCCGGTAGTCTGGTTGGGGTTTTTTGTGATTGTCCCCCAGTATCTTAGATTACCGGCTTCCCTTAGTCATAGTTCGACTTGTCGGGCAAAGTTCATTGCAAAGTAAAGTGTCACCGGTCTTGCGAATTCTACTTCATAACGTATGGGATTTTTTAGCCCTGCATAGAAGTTCCACAAACTTTGATTCGGTGTAACCCCTGTGGTTCTTGCTAGTGATGATTCAAAACTAGCACAATATTCTTCAACTGTCCCTGTTTGTCGAATCCGTGTCAACTCGCCCAATGGGTCCATACTCATTGGTGGCCCGAAACGAATTTTACATTCTTCTGAGAACTCCACCCAATTCAACCGGCCCTTCATTCGTCTCAGATTTCAGTACCAAGAACTTGCACTATCTTGAAGCACAAATGTAGCTTGTCATACCCAAGCTTCTGGTGGTGTTTCTTGCTCTTCGAAGAAATTCTCACACTTTTGCAACCATGCAAATGGGTCTTCCTTGCCACTATAAGTCGGAAATTCCATTTTGGTGAGCCTAGGTACCCAGTTTCCCGATATCCGACTTCTTCCTCTGCTTCCTCCCATGTCTTACCCCCTTGTTCCTGTCCGTGCAATCGAAAGTGACTTGACACTTCATTTTTCTGAGCTTCCCAGCTGTGTCTGAAAGGTTGGGAATCAGCCTTCCGCCATGACTCTGTATCTCTCCCGCCCATTCTTCCTAAATAGAAGTTAGAGTTTTGAGCAAAAGGGTTGGAGCAAAAATTCCCTCTTCCTCGTCCCACTACTGTAGAAAACCCCTGCCCCATCCCTTGCTAGTTTGTGTTCCACCTTGCATGATCCTCTTCCCTCTCCCAGGAGTAGCTCATGGAAATCCTCAAACCGGTTATCCCCATCAGTTCCCTCGTCCCCATCAGCTTCTGATACCTGTTTTTTGTTACGAGATTGCGACACAATGCTTTCCTCCAACGCCGACTGCTTAGCTTGCAAGGCAGCAATCGCCCCCTTCAAATCGCTCGTGCTTTGGGTTTGTTGAATCATGAACTCTTCTAATTTTTTCATCACTTCCTCCGGCGATGCCATCACAAGCGGCTCTGATACCAAACTTGTTACAACCCAGGATCTCGATCTTGTGAGTGGACCTGTGTATTGACCACCTCCTGCCGTGAACCCCAAGAAGCCTAACCTCTAGGATCGGAGGCTAAGCTAAAACTAAGAATACGATGGAGAACTCCTAAATTACTGATAAATTCATGCATATCTTTATTAATAAAAAAACCCTATAAATAGGTAAAGATCCTTAATTGACTCCAGCACCAACAATTGATAAGAATAACTAACTAGATAACTCTAATAATTTAAAAGGCTCAAGTCAAGACCACTTATCTAATAGCATGAATTAAAAAAAAAACCCTGATCCTTATCCCTTGGCCCGTTTTCTGTACACTTATCTAATAGCATTAATTAATATCATTTTTTTGTTTATTTTATTTCAATCAATAATCATAATACCGAAATCATTTACAACAATAATTGTCCTAGTAACAGAAGACCAACATCGCTAACGAAAAAATATTTGGGTCGTTACAATTCTCCTCTCATTAAAAAGATTTCGTCCTCGGAATCAGATACCAATACAAACAACTTAGGGTAACGAACCTTCATGTAATCTACAACCACCTGGGTCACTTCTGACCGGTACCCGTCCTCCCATTGGACTTTGAGGAGCTTGAATCGTTTCATTCATCGTTGCTTGGTCCTTCTCCAGCCAACATATCTACCAACTCACAACTCGTCTATCAGCAAGACATTCGACTCTTATCCTGCCTCGATTGTCAAAATATATAATTTTCATCCAAGGAGATTCTTTCAGTATCACCCCTTCGATGGTTTTCAGTTGTAACTCCTTGACTACTTCCAAAAAAAGATAACCATTGATTACCTTGATCCCTCTATCGCATGATCCAAGGGAAAACCTCACACTTCCCCAATGCCTTTGCATGGCTTAAAGAGGCCCAAAACTAATTTATAACCTTTTAACTCCATAATATGAACATCAACTCTTGCATGGTTGAGTTAAAGCCATCAATATGCTATTTTTATGAAAATGGGACCTCAAAAACATCAAGATCTACTATTCTAACTTTATAGAGTAACTTATACTCACATGAATCAACCCAAGGGACCAAAATATGTCAAAAACCCTAACTAACTAGATCTAAGAGATGAATCAACAAGGTTGAGACTTTATATCTTCTAGAGGATGATCAAGGTGGATAGATTCTAGATCCACAAGCTTCAAGCCAAACAATACACCTTCAATAAGCTCCTTCTTCTTCAAAATGCACTAAAACACACCAAATCACTCAAATTTTCAAGAATCACTCCAATATGGGCTAGGGTTTCAAGGAAAGCTTCTTAGAGGATGGAGGTTGATCGGATAAGGTCAACCTCAAGGGAGTTAATGAGGTTTTATAGGCATATAGATACCCCAATTCTTATCCCACTGAAAAGAAAATCCTGCACATAAACACTCACGATACCTAACTCAAGATCTCACCCAAAAACCAACTTGATACTCAATTCATAACCCAAGATCCACGAATTTGCACTTGCATTTCACCAATAACCTTATAATTCACGAACCCCTCACTAGACCGAGATATAAAGGTTCCCAAACCATCACTGAGACTACCAATCTCGCACCTGGTCCAACCACCAGGATCCCAATAGTCTAAATAACAAGGTTACCCAGCCTATAAACCCCTCTGCGCCACACACTGAACACCCACTTAACCATGTAACTCAAGATCCAAAAACTTGCCCCAACAGTCTCCATCAGATCCCACCTGAATTGTTATAATCACACGGGCCTCGCCCACGGGTTCCACCCAACAAGAGCTACATGGGCCCTAATCCGCCTCGGGCACCAATGGGCCTCAATTTAGAACAGAGCAATACTCCTCGACAATCCTGACCGGTGTGCAGAAGGCACAAACTAATTTCCCCTTTCCATTCATGACCACCACCAACGATAGTCTAGCTCGAACTGGTGAATGCTACAATCCCATCGCAATCTTACAACACTTCTAACCAACCATTGTTACCACCTATGGCCTTACCACACTCAAACAATCACAATACCATGCTTCCTGAGCCAAAATCCTGCATCCAATCAGGAGTTTGGGTCACGCATTCGAATCCCACAGCCTACTATGTATAACAAAGGAGATGCCGACCAACGGTTGGAAGTTTCGTGAACTCCCACCAACACAACCTCAATCTGAACAGCCACTTAATTCTCCCCCAACGGGATTCGCGGAGCTCTCTCACCTCTTACTTCTGATAGACCTCCAACCTATCTACCTCCAATAGCATGAACCGCCTATAACCTATGCTAATCAATACTAGCGTTCCATTGCTAGCCAAACTCAATTATTGCCCAACACCTGAAACCATGGAGAATGCTCTTGAAATCTAATCCAGTCTAATACTCCAAATCACCTCCCATGATACCATACAAATTCCCTGAGTTCTTATGCTGGCGACTAAAAACCATAACCCTTTGCCTGAACCGACGAATCTTCATTCCAACTCCCACTCTCGATGAATTACTGAATCCTACTCGACTGCAACCTAAGTGAATATAAAACTCCCCTGATATTTCCAATGACCAAACAACTCATGCAACTGACACCACCATCTTCCTGCTACCGTTCCTCTCCTAGCAACGGTAGTGTTTGAACGTAGCAGTTCTTCCATAGGCAACCGCTGCTCCTACCAAAATAAATACTAAAACCACTAAACCCTGTAGAAACTGGAGAACTAGCTCACTGAATCTTGACCATATAATTTCCACACAATACCTCGAAACCGATTTCGACCATAAACCAGAATAGCAACCGATCACATTGGAACCCGCTACACGAGATACAACCTTTCAATAACCTACTAATGATCACGACATGAAACAGGCATAAAACAATTCTCGAAGGATATAACCCAACATTAACATAGAATTAAACCAATGATAACGCTTATCCAAACCAATATAACATTCCATGAAACATAAATACTGATTACAACCGAATAAAAGTAAAAGACAGCATACCCGTAATATCACCTGCTGGAGTACTGGCCTCCCCTTTCTGACACTGAAATAACCAGCTACTCTTTGTTGGGGATCCTGCCCCACCCTCACGACTATGAGAAATCCGAAAAATAGTCGGATCAGGTGCACTCACTGCTCCTTCCCTCCTCAACGGACAGACAGCCCTCTTGTGGCCAACTTGGTTGTAGAGAAACATAATGGGCTTGCCCCTGAGGACAATCCCTGCTGACATGATTAATCCTGCTACACTGGTAGCAACCCATACCCCTGGTATGACAAGCTCCATCGTCCAGTTCCCCGTACGTGATGCACTGACTTCGGACATGCTGGCCTCTCAAACGTTGATCAGAAGTCTTGGGTCTCTTCCCAGGACCCTCCACTACATATACCAGATCTGGCCCCCTCTTCCCTAGGTGTTCCAAATCGATCTCCCGCTCTCGGGATCTGGAAATCATATCACTCAGGTTCTTTCACCTTGAAATACTCACAAACTCCCTGATATCAACCCGCAGCATATCATGATACCTCAACTTCTTCGTTTCCTTATCTACTGCATATTGTGGAACCGATAAAGTCCTTTCCCGGAACATGGCAGTGATCTCTGCCTTAGCCTCAGCACGGAATGCGCCCAAGTGCTCATCCAAGATCTCCAAAATCCCATCCTTGACCGAACCAAAGATCATAGGAGTCTGCTTAAAAACACCGCAAGTAATCTCCGACGAGATGAACTCCTGCATTTTCTCGCTAATCGGATCGGTACCTGCACCTGAGCTGCAACCAGAACTAGCACCTCCTTCCTGGTTGCTAATCACCAAACTGAAACACAACTTGCAATTGATCAGAACATACCCAAGAATCCTCTTCCACAAGCTTCTTAGATTCTCCAAGACTCTCCCTGATTTGAGTATGGGTCCTGTGCTTTCAGTAGTACGAGCCCAATAGTACCTTCCACACCTATCCATACTTTCCTCAAGAATCATCCCGAATCCTCTAAGTCACCTTCTCAAACTGATGCACCCAAGCTCAGTAAACAACACGACTACACCCGTTGCAGCACTTCCTAGGCTCTCCTAGGTTCCCGACCTCACTCTGCCATCATCTTCTAAAGAACTCCCCATAATGCCAGTCACCCACCTCATAAATACCATCATATTCACTTAGTAGCTAACTCCCATCATCTAAGAGTTCCATAAAGAAAAAAGCAAGCAACATTCATGCAGTAACACTCCAATCCATAAAACGATCATAGGACACTCAGGCCATACACCACAAATCATGCTAGAAATTCCACCTTACCTACCAGTTGCCTTATGCATGCAAATTATACACAGAACAGGATCAAATATACTGTCGAATAACATACTCTATCCTAGAACCACAACCATACAAGGAACATGAAATAAGGCCAAATCAATTACTCTAGGGCTATAATATCCTAATTGTATACAGTTTTTAAAGCATACACTTAGCAATCACTGATCCTAATAGATATTCCCATCTCTGCATAGCATCCACTACTCCCAAGACTACAAGGCATCACATATCAGGCCAATCTACCACGAACTAACCAACACTAGCATACAAGTCTACCAACTCATACAATATACATACAAATTCATCTCTCCTAGCATTCTATCATGCAAGAAATTAGCATATCCTTATCCCTAACTACCATGCAATTCACATATTCATAAACCAAGTTATAACAGATAACATGTATGGGTATTCTAGGAAAACTTACTTGAGATATGCCGATCACATGCACCATACTCGTATCTTATCTTAGAAAACTCTTTTCTTGAAAACTTTACCAAATCCTCAGTTTGAGTTCAGACACACCTGAGAGTATGTCTGAATCCCTCAAACAAAGGCTCTGATACCAACTTGTAACGTCCCGAAAATCATGACATAAAATTTTTTGTTTTTAGATTAATAAACCGTTAATACATATCTTTCCCATAAAACCAGAGTA